TGAGATAGTCGGTGGGAAGAATGTTCCTTACATTTGGGAAGAATTCCCCCTTACAGATACTGTAGCTTAAAACATTCATTGTGCCAGTGGGAACTTATCTGAGAGGCCAAAATTTCTCAATGCTCAAGGAATATTTTGGAGCAGTCCTCAAAACACCTGATGATCCTGGCACCGGGAGACTGGAGTTAGACAGCCAGTCTCTAAAGGGGTCTCATTACAAAGATTTAGGAGGCCCAGATGGTGGCCAGTGGGAGTAGAAAATTCTCTTGCATTGGTAGGAGTCAACAATGCCATAAGCTTGGTGGTCAGTGGAAGTAAGAAAAAAACAATTACACCATTGATGTAATTTGGAGGAAAAGTGCTCCATAATTGGTTTCAGTGGAAGAATTCGTTCCCCATGACTGGTGTCAGTGAAAAGACTAGTACCCCATCGTTGGTGTCAGTGGGAGGAGTAATGCCCTGTCATTGGTCTCAGTGGAAGGAATAGTGTCCCATCCCTGGTGTCAGTGCGAGGAATAGTTCCTCTTCATTGAAGGAATAGTGACTGAAGGGCCAGGTAAAGGCAAACAAAGGGGCACATCTAGCCCCCTGTTTGGAGACCCCTTATCTAAGGAAATTAGTTAACTCATAGGTTCTGTCCAGCAAACCATCCTCTATCTTCTAGTTGTAGGAACTGTCATGGTGGTCTTCATCTTCCTAAAAGAGTATACATGCAGGACATATATATAATATGAAGGCAATCTAGCTTTATATCTTATTCTGTATTATAATTTCCACCAGTAAAGAGGGTTCTCTAACATGCTCCGGTGTTTGCTACATTGTGATTACATTACTACACCCTATGTTCTCTGATGCCACCAGGCAAGGGACTTCTTTCTTTGTCGTGTGTTGCTTTGAAAGAAAGCTGGGCTCCTTTAATTGATACGCCCTTCATCCTTGTACTTTCTATCATCCTTTACATCCAACCAACACAGAGATGTTACACATAATTGCATTACTAAAGACAAAAGATATCACACTAAATAAGGTGCCTCTTGTACAAGTCATGGTAGGCAACCACTAACTTGTAGAATATGTGACACAAAGTGAATGTATTTCTTTCTCCAGCACTGTCAGTATTACCAGTCTAACTTACAGGGCTGGCAGCGGGCATTGGACGAAGATCTTATTGTGATTATTTGTTCCAGCTGTCGGAGAAGAAGAGAATTGTGTGTAGCGGAATATTATTATCCATGTCTGTCTTGTAGCCTCCATGTCCCCAGAAGTTTATTTTTGTCTTTGTGCTGTTGTCTCTGCTCCCGTTAGTACAGGGGCCTGTCTATCCTTGTCTGTCAGTGTCGCTCTTCCTCCCTCAGTGTCTGTTTCCTGGCATTTAGCTCTTCAGGTTTCCAGTTATATGCAGTATTAGTTATGATGTGGTCTTCTGTCCACTGGCTTTCATAGCTCTATCCCAGGCTTGGTGACACTAAGTTCCATTGAAAAAAAATGGGAGCTTTTTATCCTGTCCTGCATGTGAATACCTCTCCAGTTTGAAAATAAAGACACTCCACAGGTCAATATTGTTGATTAAAAAAAGCTTTCCATGCATGGCAGCTGGTTTTTCACAGTTTTGGCAATGACGAGCTTCCGAAACCTCAGAATTCAAGGTCAACTGATGCAGGGCTCTAAATCTAATCAACCCCCTAAAGCCAGTCCTGGAATAGGACAGCCCATATATCAGGATTAGTGTCTTAAGCAACTGTTCTTCTAAGTTAAGAAGCCAGTTTTTGGTTGACTATCTCATTGGGGTTCTCCGAAGCACATTCTCGGTGAATAGATTCTGTTCTCTTTAGAGGTCATCACTTTGGAACCAAGTTACATCTTGTGGAAAACACCTTCTATTTGACAGTTAGGACTAAGATTGCTGGAGAGAACGTTGGGCCTATACTCAAGTGTTTACCTTTTGTGCATGAGAAAAAAAAAATAAGACTTTTACATATGAAACATTCAATGTTTCACATTATCCAGGCCTCCAATTTGTAGCTGTGCTGTGCCAGTCCTTTGTGTTAGTGGTAACTGTGACCCTTCTGTATGCCGTGGCATGTATTTGTTCCTTGTCTGCTTGTGGCTGCTGTGCTTTTCTGTTTTGCATTCGACTCCATGTATCCTAAAGTCTTCCTTACTACTTTTCTAGGACGTCACTTCAAGGGCAGAATCAGGTTCCTAAATGTATGACCGTCTTCATGGGAACCTCCAAAGCTCTAGAATAAGAGTAACGAGCTGCGTAAACCCAACCAAAAAGCTTGAAACAATTTACCAAATCTTATTTTAAAGTGTAACAACACTTGTTAGAACCTCCGTTAGCTTTTTATTGGTGTGTGGGACCTCTTTGTGGAGATTTTCCCATCATTTCCTGTCCCAGTGACAAAGCTGACACCATGATCAAATGAGAGGGAAGCCAACAAAAGGTGCTAGCCAAAATTTTTATTTTTTTTTTTGCTGTTGTGTCCTCATTGGAAAGTTCCTTACTAAGAATGTTGTCACCGTGACAGGAAGAGAGGGGGAAGTCTACCGACACACACAGACAGCAATACAGACCTGACGAAGGTTCCAGGTCTTCCACAGTCGTAATAAAATTTGACCCAAAATACCAGGACACATAGCACTTTGATGAATAAAGCATGTTTATTAGCAACTTAAAGAATGTTTTTACAAAGAGCCATTATACATGTATTTATTTATTAAAATGAGCCTCTTACTTTCCTTAGGACGTTGAGAGGAAAACATTTCATGTCCCTGTTTTCTGATTGCAATGAAAGCTACCCCTCGTAATGGACATCTCTCCATTCTTGGACTCATCAGCCGTGCCAGTGTTGTTCTATGCTTTTCCTGTCTGCAGTGTTATTGCTCCATTTGATTGTATTCTTTTGCTGTTGAATTTGTAAACTATATGGCCAAAGATGAGGCAAACTACCACTCAGTTCACCAAAACCAAACTGTATAATCTCCATGATCATAATGTATAACATCTTTGATCAACTTATGAAGAACCCTAAGGACTCATTTACACTTGCTTCGACTTTAACATACAGTACCTACTGCTTCAACATGCTTTTTGATGTCCCTGTCATGCTTCAATGAGGCTTTGTTTGAAGCTTGGCAAATGCCCTGTGTGTTGATTTTCAATTTTTTTAAAAAAGGGGCCCATTAGTACCCCCACTCAGCAGATCCTCAGCTCTATAGTACCCCTGTTCAGCAGATCCCCAACTCATTAGTACTCATGTTCAGCAGATCCCCAGCTCATTGGTACCCTCATTCAGCAGATCCCCTGCTCGGTAGTACCCCCAGCTCTGCTGATGACCCACTCAGTAGTACCCCCAGCTCTGCTGATTCCCTACTTATTAGTAACCCCCAGCTCTGCTGATCCGTTACTCAGTAGTTACCCCCATCTCTGTTGATCCTCTGTTTTGCAGATCCCCTCCTTCTCTGATCCCGCTATATTGCTTCCATGCTGTGCACCATGTTTGAAACTGCTAGTTTCTCCTGCTCCGGTTCCCCAGCTCTGCTGATCCTCTGCCACTCAGTCCTCTCCCTCCTTGGTCCCTGCTCACCTTCCGCTATAGCGCTCCCAGGTGGCACACCAGGTGTGCCATCTGCTAGTTGCTCCAGTCCAGTCTCTACTTGACTTCCTGATGTTCCACACTGCACACCAGATATGACATCTGCAATAGACACTCCCTGAATATATACACATGAACTGGAAGAGACTGCTGATGATGTCTTTCTGATTTGCTTGTTAGTTTCCTGGTGCATCCTGGGATATCTCATGCTTGCAATATTTACAAAACAAAGCGAAGCTAAAGCTGAATAAAAGCCCCTCAAAAGCTTCAAGCGTTACTAAAGGCTTTTTTTTTTTTTAAATAACGTGATTTTGCAAAGAGCAGCAGCCCTGATCTTCCTCTTTTTGGGTCCCTTGCAGGCGCTCCTGGCCCCTCCTTCCTGTTGGGTGCCCCCACAGCAAGCAGCTTGCTGTGGGGCCCCTGAGCAGTTGCGCTCCCAATGGCTTCCGTTGCTCTCTCAGCCAATGAGGAGGCAGAGACTGCTGTGCACATCGCTGTATCGTGATGGGGCTCAGGCAAGTATTATGGGGGCGGGGGGCTGCTGCACATTGAAGGAACCACTTTCAGGTGCTGTTAGCGATTGTTGTCATAGACTTCTACGGAAGCTTTGGAGATGCTTTGAAGCACTAAGTGACCTGGGGCTTACTTTTTGGAGCAAAGCAAAGGAAATGCAATGTGTAAACAGGACTGTAAGGTGACCTTTTTATTAAGTGACAGGTGCTTTAATTGGCATTCAGAGTGCTTTAAAAAAGCGTGTCCAGTGCCACATTTTGATGCAAGTGTAAACGAGCCCTAAAAAATAACAATTGATGGTAACACTCTGTGTACATGGATTATATCCCTTTTCATTTTTGCAATAGCCAGTTGTATGTTTTATCCTTAATGTTTTTTTTTGTTCTGTGAGGTACAATTAAAGTCCCATCCACTATTATCCCCCAGCCACCTTGGTTTTGGTGGATTAAGTGGTAGAGTGCCTCTTTTATTTGCTCAAACTTGAGATGGTACCCATAGAAGAGTTTTTTGTGACTATCTAAAACCCACCCCTTGGCCTCGTTTTTTACTGTTTAACTTGGCCATGCACAACTAGCTCTACCACAGGATAAAATCCAGCTTCATCCATTTGGTATTGATCACAAAGACCCTTAAACTGGCCAGTAATCCACATAGTCTTCAAGACTTATAATATTTTAGACACGTGAAAGCACAACACTGAGCTGCCTTGTCCTCTGATGTTTTGAACTTGTGCTGCCTGTTCTGCCCTTTTCTAATAGCTGCTGTGTGCCGTGGGGCCTCCTATGACTCCTACCTTTCCATTCGTAGTGTAGAAATGAAGAATCTTGCCACTTTTGTCTGCTTCACCCTCTTTTCTTTTTTCTTTTTCTCCCGACTCCCTTCACACAGATCCGCGTCGTGAAGGCATTCCGTAGCTCTCTCTATGAAGGTTTAGAAAAACCGGATTCTCGAACTTCCATTCACAACTTCATGACCCATCCAGAGTTTAAGATAGAAGATTCTCAGCCTCACATCCCTCTTATTGATGACACAGATCTGGAGGAAGATCCTGCCCTGAAACAAAACTCTAGCCAGCCCCCTTCACCCAACAAGAACAACAATGCGGTTGACAGCGGGATAAACCTCACTACAGAGACCAGCAAATCAGCTACCTCTTCCAGCCCAGGGAGCCCCATACACAGCTTGGAGACGTCCCTTTAGCTGGAGATGGCACCGCTTCCTTAATCACCAAAACAAGGAATATTTGTGTCTGGCTCAGTAAGATGTTTTCACATTTTGGAGGCCCGGCAGAGGAAGCTCCGTGTCCAAGCAGTGCTGGCAGTGAGAATGTGGCGGGTTTTTCATGACGGCCTGATGTTGCTGCCTCCGGAAAAAAAAAACAAAAAAAAACAAAAAAAAGAGAAAGACAAACTAGGAAAAAAAAAAAAACAAAGACACTATCCAACCATGTTCCTGCATGAATGTACACTAACAATCCCTCCTTTTACTGCTTTGATTTTTTTTTTTTTTTTTTTTACATACACTTCTGGGACTTTCCTTGCACAGGGATGTGAAAGACAAGAAAAAGAAAGAGTTTTCCCCAGACAACAGTATTTATCTGGTAACTGACACATGAGCCACAAAACTGCTAACAATGCAAAGACCTCGTGCTCAGACCTTTCTAGTCAAATGCTATTTTTTGAAGTTGCAAAGCTTGACTTGCACAGGGGATTTTACAGCACCCAAAATGACGAAGGAACATATACAAAACATTTCTGTAGGAGAGGTGCGTGTGTGTGTGTGTGCGCGCGCGCATGTATGTACAGTATATATATTTATATATACATACTGTATGTATAAATCCCTTCATATGAGCCTGAGGGAAAAAAAAACAAGTACATTGGCATATCTTTGCAGCCAGGGGTGGAAAATGACACCATCCTTCCATATATTTTCTGTCTCTTTGAAAAAAAAAAATTGAAATATGTGTATAAACCCTTTATGCATGCATATGAGAAGGGGAAAACATTGTTCCCTTATGAGAAAATATGAGGTAAAAAGATATTTAAAAAAAAAAAAATACAAAAAAAAAATATAATTATAATACTGCAAGCAGGGTGCACGAAAAGGTTATGTCTATTTCTATATACTGTGTGTAGTGGAGAACATGCACAAGGCATTCCACCAACTGGACCGTTTCCATGTGCAATGCGGCTGGATATTGCTTCATCAGACCAGCCAAGACCCACACCAACATGGCACATCTGCCATGGAACTAGGACAAAGAGTAGATGTTATTGTAAAAACATTGATTGTTTTTACCATTTTTTTTTTCCCCATTAGGGGTTACAATAGCAATAATTCCCTTTGTGTCTGACCGCCAAGGTTCTTACCTTGATGGGCTGCTACTACAACACGCTAATTATTTGCTTCTGTAAAAGCTACAGCTTGTTTTATTACATTTGTTTTCTTTAGGAACCTAGACAGACACCCTCAGAGAACACGATACTTTGGCAGGTTGCCTTATTTCAGTCTCAACTATTTATTATTGCGGTTTGTGTCCCGGGGAAGAAGAATGTAAGTTTGCGGTCCCATGAAGACGCTAAGGTCGGGACAAAAAGGAAAGATTAAGGCGAAGTGATGTGAAATCACAGTAACATTGTTCGTTGTGGAGACAGTCTGTTTGAATAGTATACCAATTGTATCCCCAAAGTTCTTTCTTCCAAATTATGAAAATAGGAAGCCTTTAAAGAAAAAGAGCCATTGGCTACAGAATAGGAAGCCTCCAAAGAAAGCCATTGGCAACAGAATAGGAAGCCTCCAAAGAAAGCCATTGACAACAGAATAGGAAGCCTCCAAAGAAAGAGCCTTTGGCAGCAGAAGAGGAAGTCTCCAAAGAAAGAGCTCCTTGGCAGCAGAAAAGGAGGCCTCCTAAGAAAGAGCCCTTGGCAGTAGAATAGGAAGCCTCCAAAGAAAGAAGCCCTAGGCAGTAGAATAGGAAGCCTTCAAAGAAAGAGCCTTTGGCAGCAGAAGAGGAAGTCTCCAAAGAAAGAGCTCCTTGGCAGCAGAAAAGGAGGCCTCCTAAGAAAGAGCCCTTGGCAGTAGAATAGGAAGCCTCCAAAGAAAGAAGCCCTAGGCAGTAGAATAGGAAGCCTTCAAAGAAAGAGCCCCTTGGCAGCAGAAAAGGAGGCCTCCTAAGAAAGAGCCCTTGGCAGTAGAATAGGAAGCCTCCAAAGAAAGAGCCCCTTTGCAGCAGACTAGGAAGCCTCCTAAGAAAGAGCCCTTGGCAGCAGAATAGAAAGCCCCCCAAAGAAAGAGCCCTTGGCAGCAGAAAGGACTGCTGGGAGATGTGCGGGATGACATTAGGGGTACATATAGGTCAGTTTATGTGCAATAAACACCTGTTGGAGCACTCAGCCACTGACACAGCATGCCTTAACGCATCATCATTCTGTCCATGTGTGATATAGTTTTACTGAAATTGTGTTATACAAGAACGTAAAGATTTCTATTCTCTTACAGTTAGCAGTGTTGAATATGATGTACGGGTATACTAAAGACAGAAGGAAGCATATATTTTATGACTATAACTACTAGAGAACTCCAATTCCTATTGTGTAGAAAATATTTGCACCTGAGATATAACTGAATGTATGGCAGATTGCCGGAAGCCTCTCAGAAGGATCAATATGGATTAGTTTGAAAATGAGAAAAAGAAAAAAGGAAAAACCTCAGTCCACATAACATCAAAAAAGTCTAGTTTAAAAACACGACATAGTTTACAAAAAAAATTAAAAATGTATGTTTTAAATTAAATAGAGACATATTTTTGTAATAATGATGTGAGAGCTTGAGTTAAAACTTTGGGGTTATTCTCTAGAATTAAGGAGAACAAGAGACCAGAAAAAATGTATAATAAGTGATTTAAATGGAAGTTTTATTTTTTCACATAGACCTGTAATTAATAATAAATACCATTAAAGTAGAAACTTAAATACCAAAAAAAAAAGTTTACAAAAAGCAGTAAGAAATTCCATACTTACATTTTATGCAGAGCGTATTTTCATTGTTATCAACATTGCCTTTTTTTGTTTTTAATATTTTTTTTTTTACATGATAAATGGCAAAAATGCATTAATTACATTTTCTGCATGGTCCACACTGTTTAAATATAAAATTTAAATCCTTCAAAAGCAATTTATTTGCTCAATTACGAAATTAGGAAAAGCCCCAACATAAATGATTTAAAGCTTTAATTTATAAAGACAATTCAGAGAGTTTGATTTATAGGTTTTAGTCCACAGTTACTGCAAAGAATCCCCAAATACTCAGAATCCCCAAACAGATTTCTTACAGCCCCCAATCCCCAAGCAGATGAATTTATCTTGTATCAGGTAACTTTAATGAACCTATTTCTGACTCTGAAGTTGGGTGACTCCACTTCTATTTTTAGTCCATAATTGAGGGTGGCTGTAAATAGATGTGTAGATAAGATACCACTTGTGTCCCCAAAGTTCTTTCCTCAAAACAGGAGAATAGGAAGACTCCAAAAGAAAGAGCCCTGGGCAACAGAATAGGAAGCCTCCAAAGAAAGGGTCCTTGGCAGTAGAATAGGAAGCCTCCAAAGAAAGAACCCTTGGCAACAGAATAGGAAGCCTCCAAAAAAACAGCCATTCAAAACAGAATAGGAAGCCTCCAAAAAACAGCCCTTTGAAACAGAATAGGAAGCCTCCAAAGGAAGAGCCCTTGGCAACAGAATTTGAATCCTTCAAAAGAAAGAGCCCCAAATAAATAGAGCTGAAAGGACTACTGGGAGATGTGTGGGATGCCCAAATATTTAGAATCCCCAAATAAGTTTCTCACCAAAACACCCCCTCCCCTTTTCCACCACCCCTCCCGCTGCACCAGCAAGCAGATGGATTTACCTTGTATCAGGTAACTTTAATTACCCTATTTCGGACTCTGAAGTTGGGTGGCTCCACTTCTATTCTTAATCCACAATTGATGGTGGCTGTAACTAGATGTATGGATAAGTTGCCAACTGTGTCTCCAAAATTCTTTCCACCAAATTATAACAGGAAGCCTCCAAAGACAGACCCCTTGGCAGTGTATAACAGTGTAGGAAGCCTCCATAGAAAGAGCCCCAAAGAAAGATCAGAAAGGATTGCTGGGAGATGGGCAAATATTCAGAATCCCCAAATGGGTTTCTCACCATCCCCCCCCTCCATGACAAACAGGTGGATTGATCTGGCAATTAATTGAACCTATTTTAGACTCTGAACTTTGGTGGCTTCACTTCTTTACATAGTTCACAATTGATGATGGCTGTAAACAGATGTATGGAAAAGATACCAGTTGTGTCCCCCGAAGTTCTTTCCCCCAAATTATGAGATTAGGAAGCCTCCAAAGAAAGAGCCCTTGGCAGCAGAATAGGGAGACTCTGAACAAAGAGCCCTTGGCAACAAAATAGGAAGCCCCCAAAGAAAGAGCCCTTGGAAACAGAATAGGACGCCTCAAAAGAAAGAGCCCTTGGAAACAGAATAGGATGCCTCAAAAGAAAGAGCCCTTGGCAACAGGATAAGAAGCCTCCAAAGAAAGAGCCCTTGGCAACAGAATTGGAATCCTTCAAAGAAAGAGCCCCAAAGAAATAGCGCTGAAAGGACTACTGGGAGATGTGTGGGATGCCCAAATACTCAGAATCCCCAAATAGGTTTCTCACCAAAACACCCCCTCCCCTTTTCCACCACCCCTCCTGCTGCACCAGCACGCAGATGGATTTACCTTGTAGCAGGTTACTTTAACTACCCTATTTCGGACTCTGAAGTTGGGTGGCTCCACTTCTATTCTTAATCCACAATTGATGGTGGCTGTAACTAGATGTATGGATAAGTTGCCAACTGTGTCTCCAAAATTCTTTCCACCAAATTATAACAGGAAGCCTCCAAAGACAGACCCCTTTGCAACAGTGTAGGAAGCCTCCACAGAAAGATCAGAAAGGATTTCTGGGAGATGGGCAAATATTCAGAATCCCGAAATAGGTTTCTCACCATCCCCACCCAACCCCCCCTTCCATGACAAACAGGTGGATTTATCTGGTAATTAATTGAACCTATTTTAGACTCTGAACTTTGGTGGCTTCACTTCTTTACATAGTTCACAGTTGATGATGGCTGTAAACAGATGTATGGAAAGGATACCAGTTGTGTCCCCCGAAGTTCTTT